AAAATCATATGAAACCTTTAACAACAACATTGACACTTCCCTTCAAGAAAACAATAATCCTAATCAATACTCTTTGAACAAAAGATATAAAATATTGACTCAAACCAATTGTGCATGAAAAAGTGCTTCAACCCTTTTATAAAATTAATACTTGTTTTTGTAAACTAATCTTTAAAATTTATCATTGTTAGATAATAATAATAATAATAATAATAACTTATTATAAATGTGAAAGTACATAGATTAAACCAATAGAAATAATATAAGCATGAGGATTGAGCTCACCTACTCTTAAAGGGTCAACATGTCATTAGAATTTATTTATATTGGCGAGATTTAAAGGATTTTAGTTTTGCTTTTTACAAAACACCAAAGACCAAACATTGGTCTTGATTTGGAGGGGGACGAAAGAACAAAGGAGGAAAGAGGTGGGTGCAAGAAGGTGGTTCGACGGTGGCTGGGCACCCGGCGTAGGCCAGGGGCGGCGGCGACTGGGGTGCGGGGCTGATGAGTCTATTTTATATATATTTTATTCTGTGTCCCATGGTAATATTTGTACTTATTTGAGCTCTGCGGAGCTATTTTCATTACTAATATACGTTTTCTAGTATTTTGTAGAGTTGGTATTATTTTATAGGAATTTGCAGATTTATAATAATTCCTGAGCTTATTGAGCCACTATGAAGATATTAGAGTCGAAACGTATTTTATGACTATATATTTTAAGCCCAAGACCGAGTTAGAGGAATTTAATTTGTGATTAAGGGCTCGATTAAGTGAAGAGGTCCCAAATTAATATCATGATCAAGTTTAGTTAAAAAGAGGAGATTGGGCTCAAAGCTTGAGGATCCAATACCAAGGAGAACACTCGAACCTGCGAGTGAAGAAGCCCATCTCGCTGCCAGACAGACGAGGCCAATCGGCAATTAGTATTATGTGCACAATGTTGCACCTGGCCCAATCTGTGCTCAACAGGGAAGCCCAGACAAAAGAAGCCCATGAATTTTATTTTTTTTAAGAATATTAGTTCTTCCTCTCTCTAACTGTCATATCAATTTAAGTTCAAAAAAAAAATTGTCATATCTATTTTTATTTCATATTAAAAATTTTCTCTCTTCTCTCATAAATTAAAAACCTTTCTCTATTAATTCTTTTGTATTTTCTCTCTCCTCTCACTGTTTTTCTTTCTCTAAAAACTACAATCTATCATAAGAGAAGACAAAAAAACACACAAAAACACCTATAAAAAGGTAAACGTCACTTAAACTTTTTTGATTTCCCTATATTTATGTTAAATTTGCTAATATAATTCAACAAATTGTAAAACTAAAACTATATTCACTACGTGAAAAATTAAAATTGGCACCGGTTCAAACCCGGTCTAAGGCAGCGGTTTGAACCGGTGTCAATGTGAGGGGTACCAAAAGTGGTTTAATAAGGCACCGGTGCCAAAAATGGCCAACAAAATTTTTTTTGTTGTTTTTGTTACCGGTTAACCGGTGCCAAAAATGCCCAAAAATATATATATATTTTTTGTTTTTTCCATCTAAAAATTAAATAGCCTAAAATAAATAACAACATCAAAACATAAAGCCAATATCAATCATCATCGAAAATTTGCAATATATGATCAAAAAAATATTACAACATATAAAACTTCGATTACAGCATATAAATAAATAAAAAATTACAATATAAATTTTTTACAAAAATTACAATATAAATAAATAAATAAAAAACCATTCATTCTTGTATCTTGTTTTTTCGATTTCAGATCTAGAATTCATACCTGCACCAATTAAAACAAAAAAAAATTGACTAATATAATTAAAATTCGAAAAAAAGCCCAGAAATTTAATCCCAAATATTGAAAAAAAATTCAAACCCAGAAAAAATTGAAATCGAAAATCCCAGAAAAAAAAAACTTAAAATCGAAAAAAAAACCCAGAAAAAAAAAACTTGAAATAAAAAAAAAAAAAACTTGAACTCGAAAAAAACCCAAGGAAAAAAAAATTAAACCCAGAAAACGAAAAAAAACTTGAAATCCATTTAAATCCAGCATTCGAATAAACCCAGAAATTGAAAAAAATTTAAATCGAAAAAAACCCAGAAAAAAAAATTAGAAATCGAAAAAAAATTAAAATCGAAAAAACCCAGAAAACAAAAAAAAATGAATCGAAAAAAAATTCGATTAAAATCTGAAAAAAAAAATACATTCGAAATTGATTAAAATTTTGATTAAAATAAAAAAAATAGATTAAAAATTTGATTCTAATTAAAATCGATTAAAATTTAAAAAAAAAACCCAAAAATTCGATTGAAATCAAAACAATAACCCAGAAATTCGATTGAAATCGATCAAAACAATAACCTAGAAAAAAAAAAGAATTTAAACCGATTACAATTTTAAAAAAATCGATTAAAAAATCAATTAAAACAAAAACCCAGAAAATTAAAACAAAACCCATAAATTCAATTGAAATCGGTGTTGCATGTGGCTTCAAATACCTAGAAAATCGAGAGGAGTGGTGTTTCATGTGGTCTTCGTGGTTGTGAGGGAGAAGGAGATCGAAAATTTACAGAGAATTAGAAGGAGAAGAAGGAGATCGAGAAAGATAAATAGAAAGATAAGGAGGAGAAGGAGATCGAGAAGGGAGAAAGAGGAGGAGAGGAGAGAGAAAGAGGAAGAGAGGAGAGAGAAAGGTACTGATGAGAGGAGAAGAGTATTAGGGTTGGGGGGGATTTAAAGAGTGGGATCAATTTTTTTTTTTATGGCTCCGGTTCAAAAAGGCACCGGTTCAAACCGGTGGCCTTTATGTATTTGGCACCGGTTTGAAGTGAACCGGTGCCTTATGTCTTGGTTCATTAACTCGCGCTTTTTTTAGCCTATTTTTGGCACCGGTTTGGCCTGAACCGATGTCATTTGGGGGTTGCCTTTTTGTATTTTTCTACTAGTGATTCTACTATATAATTGTCTTTTTGACTTTTTAAAATTTATTGTTTTTGGTAGAAAATCAAAATTATCTGCTTCTATTGAAGAGGATGAACATGTGTAAGTAATTTATTGTTTAAATTTGAAATTTGATTTTAAATTGTTAATTTTTAGAATTAAATACTAACTTGAACCCTAAAATTTTTTAACAGTACAATTAGTCAAATGTTCAATGTCAGAACACCAAAAAAGAAGAAATTAGATGATGTATCTAAGAAAAAACCAATTGTTAAAAACTTCTGAACCCCAATTACAAACCACTGAACAACCTACAAAAACCTCTAAACCCCGTACAAAACTTTTGAACCCCAACCACAAACCACTGAACATCCTTCAAAAACATCTGAACACCTACAAAAACCTCTGAACCCCAACCATAAAATATTGAACACCTTTGAAAACTCTTTAAACACCCTACCAAAACTTTTGAACCCAAACCACAAACCAGCGAACACCTTCAAAAACCTCTTAACCCCCTATAAAAACTTCTGAACCCCAACTATAAACTACTAAACACCTTACAAAAACCTCTAAACTCCCTACAAAAAATTCTGAACCACAACCACAAACCACTGAACACCCTAAAAAAACCTTTGAACCCCCTACAAAAACTTCTGAACCTCAACCACAAACCACTGAACACCCTTCAAAAACCTCTGAACCCCATACAAAAAACTTCTAAACCCCAACCACAAACTACTGACACTAGTCGAAAAATTGATATTAGCAGCACCCTATTAGCAACTGACGTTATATATGTTAGTTACTAAAACACTTATTGTAACTAGCTAAAATAATGTCAACTACAAATACTATGTCATTAGCAACTAGCTTAATAATGAGTGCTGCTAATACTTAGAGTATAAAAGCAAAAATTTATAGTAGCAACTAGCCTATTAATGCCAGTTGCAATTACTTTATCATTTGCAACTGGCGTAATAATGTCATCTGCTAATAAAAAATTACTTTAAAAATAAATTATTTACACGCAACTGGCCTTTTGATGTCCGCTACAAATACTAGGCCAAAATTTGAACAAATCATTTGTAACTGACCTTGACCCTCCTTCTTTCTCATCAAAACCCTCATTCTCTCTCATAAAAACTGCCTTCTCTCTCATCAAAACCTTCCACTCTCATGTTAAAAATCAAAGATCTCGCTGAATTCACTCAACCCTCGCCTTGATGCTCGCTGAACTTCACTCAACCCAGCCGTATCTGAATTCTCCATTGAAGCGACTTTTGAGCTCATAGATGGTGGTGGTAAGCGCGTCAGCCAAGTTGTCAGATTGAACCTTCAATTCGACAGACTCAATTTGACAATTAAGGGTTTTTTTTTCTGGAATTTGGTTGTTTGGTTTTCCTTCAATTTGACAATTTAAGACTTTTTTTTTCCTTTCCTAAATTCAATTTTTTTAATTCATTGTTCAGATATGGTTTTGTACTTCAAATTTGTTGATAGTTGAAGTTGATTTGATGGTATTCTCCTTTATTTAGTGTTGGTGATAAATTAGTTTTGGATATGCAATATTTGGTTAAGTTGACTTTTATATACTAGTAGAAAAAGTGCTATTTGTAACTGGCGAAATTGGCTTTTTGTAACTGGCATTGTTGGTTGTGAATGCCGCCGTTACAAATAGTGAAAATTATTCGTAACCAGCTAATGATAGTTACAAATAATTTACTATTCGTAACTGGCTTAACCTAACGCCAGTTACAAATAGTCTATTTTCCAAGTTAGAAAGCATATTATTTGTAACTTGGTTAAGTTACGCAGGTTACAATTAGGGTATTATTTGTAACTGATATAGCTTAATGCTAGTTACGAATAGTGTTCTTTTTAAAAAAAATAAAAATAAAATGGAAGCAGTAGCAAATTCCTGTACTGCCACCACCCGTACACTACATTTATTTCAATGTGAAGACCATAAATTATTAGTAAATTTTTATAAAATACAATAATTATCAAACTAACAATTATAAGGCCAAATTTAAATGACATACATACATCAACTCTAAAATAATACTGAATTGATGTACTTGAAAATTACAAACTTGTCTCTCACAAATTCACAATAAATAATACTATATGACTAAAAAAAGCTAGTTAGTTAAATGATACGATGGTCAACCTTCAAATTTTGACGATTTTATCAATGTTTGCTTCAAATTATTTTCAACTACAAAGGAGATGTCATCCTAAAAGAATAGATTGATAAGAAATGTACAATAAACTATACAAAATATATAGAATGTCTTGTAGAAATTATCCTCTCGTAAGCTCGTTCACCCTTTTGAAGGTGCTTATAGAATAAGCTTGAACTATTATTGACTCCCGTATCAAAAATCCACTACCTGCCAAATGGTGAAATCTTGCTAAGTTCTAACAATAAAAACAAATTCATTTCTCAACTTTTTGAATATTCAGAACATTACTTGCCAATGCAAGGAACTATAAAATGAAATTAATCAAGTTGTATGGGAGGGAGGGAACTCCACAGATGCATCCAATAAAGACAACACATAATAAGTTCTACCAAGAGCTATAATGATAAGGAATTTGAGAGCCTAACCCCAAGAGTATAGAGAATTATTGAAAAAAGAAAGATGCAACATAAAACTATACCAAGTATAACGTATATGCTCCAAATGATAGGATCTATCCATCAAAAACAAAAAAAGGGAGAGAAAAAAAAAAAGAAAAAGAAGAATGATGGGACTAACCTTAATATCTCAAGATATAGAGCACAAATATCTTAGGAAACCATCATGTCACTTACTATTAACTTCAGAGGGAAAATAGATACCAAATTCTTTTATAAGAAATACCTGTAGAACAGAGAAAAAACAATACAATATTAAGAATTTAATGTACATACTCATAATCTCTATGTCTGTTAGTAAATAGAAATCTAAATTGTTATTTCTGCGACAATAAGGAAAAAGAAATTTGTGCAATGCAATCACCACACCAATCTGAAAACTTAAGTACGTTCAACTTGTCTGTAGCTTTGTAGGCGTCGTTTGAAGTACGCCTACGTTAAAAGCATGTGTAAATATATTTGGCACTCATAGGAAGTGGGAATTGACATACGATTAGGGACGAGGAAAGTAGGGAGCCGCCAACAAGTTTTTAAGAAACTTGTAAACCGTTCACGGATCATAAAAGGCAACCACGAATAAGGGACAACGAAGGCAACAACGATTGACCCGTGAAAGTTACACCCCATTCATAATCCATGAGATTACTAACTCCATATGGTTCGGAACCACGAAAGGAGGATCGGGGATGATGGTACGAAGTGAGTCATGGAGTCACATTCGCCCGTATTGGCCTCTACTCGATTCTTATAGTAAAAAGTAATTCCTGCGATCTCAAAGGCATGCAAACAAAGATTCAATTCGCTCCAAACTATTATTAAGCTAAATTGGTTGAATATTAATGCAACACATAATTCTAAAATATCGTGACCACTTAAATTAACAACAAGATTAAAAAGGAACCTAAACCGGTTGTCCAAATTATCTTATTAGGCGTGATTTTCAATTACATATTCCCTTTAAACATGCAATATGGTGATCAATAAATATAATAGAACAAATATTAATATTGGAAGCAATTTAACCATAATTCCAACAATATAAATTCGTTAGAAAAATAATAGAAATAAAAGGAACATAATTCTTACTTTGATTCTGTTTGTTTGCAACTACAAAATAATAAACGAGTTAGTAACTTCAAGGAAATAATAATAAAACAACAATTAAATTAAATTAAACAAAGTAGAGTTGATTTGGGGCCAAACCCTCAAACAGTTCTACCTTTCATGCCTAGGCTTAAGGACAGAACCACGAGTAAAGTATGGACTCCTTTGAGCACTAGAAGAAGGAATTTTGAAATGAGAAGGGTAGGCTAGTGGTTAGGCTAGAGCATAGAAGAGAGAAAATAAACTAGAGAGTTAATTGATGCCCCGTACATCAGAAATGAGGGGGTATTTACAGGGAAAATGTGCTGAGGGAGCACACGGAACCCTAAAATGATAAAAACCCTAAAAAAGTATCCCGCGACACGGCAAACTGTACCGTGACATGGGAAGTCCCACCGTCATACATGAAACATTCCCGTGACACGGTGCATTTTTGGTGTGACGTGGGAAATTTTCAGAAAACGGGGAAGAAAGCGCGTGAAGGGTTTACGCGGAAAAGACACAGAATTTCCCGTGTCACGGGAAATCCCACCGTCAGACGGGACTGATTCCCGTGACACGGTGGGTACCTGCCGTGGCGCGGGAATTCCCAGCCCACTTTTCCGTCTAAATACATTTTTAACCCTAATTTCATTCGGCATTTTAAGTGCCGATTAATAATTTCGGGCCTTTTCTGACTTATTATTATTTGGGCTAAAATAAGAAAATAAAATAAATAAAAGGTTTGGACCAAATATAAATAATAAAACAATATAATAAAAAAGGTTTGGGCTGAAATTAAAACTATGCTTTTACCAAACATCAAGACTAATCCATGGACTGTTCAAAAATATGAATTTAATCAAATACGATTTTTTAAGCACTCTCGGGATTAAATACTGAACACAACAAATAGTGGCAGTGAAAGGTTGTTCATCATCTGGTTTGGTTTGGGGAGACATTTTTATGTGTCTACAGAAGCCCCCACTTTGACTGAGTTTTAGAAACGTCAGTTTCGAAAACGATAGTCAAAGTAGTCGATAGGGACGGAGAATGATTTAAGACGTTCTGCGATCCTAAATCACTCTGTATACGCCGATACCTGCAGAAAAATGTTAGTTCTACAGATAAAAGAGTAAAGGGATAGAATGCTTATCTAACACACTAGTGTATCAGTGGCAAAGAGCTTGGTAGCTTCCACCGGATGACGTTTGTTGAAACGCTTTCCATGCCCGAGGAAAGCCGACAAATGAGTTTGGTAGCTTTCTAAGCCTGAAGAAACCTCCGGATAATACTTTCCATGCCTGAGGAAAGTCGGCGAATGAATTTGGTGTCATTCTATGCTTGAAGAAGTCCACCGATAATGCCTTCCATGCTTGAGGAAAGCCGACAAAGAAATTTGGCGGTTTTCTATACTTGAAGAAAAATCCATTGAAAACTCTTTCCATGCTTGAGGAAAGCCGACTTGGCGGTTTTCTATACTTGAAGAAAAATCAACCGATAACGCTTTCCAAGCTTGAGGAAAGCCGACTTGGCGGTTTTCCATACTTGAAGAAAAAATCCAGCGATAACGCTTTCCATCCTTGAGGAAATCCGACTTGGCGGTTTTCTTTACTTGAAGAAAAATCCACCGATAACGCTTTCCATGCTTGAGGAAAGCCGACGACTACTGTATCACTGAAATTTGCAAGTGTATGATGGTTCGATTATCCCCGAACGTGGGCCGCAGATGATTCACACCTTCAAGTCGATTATCCGACCATATTAGGTGTTTAAAATGTCGAAAAAATAGACTTTGATGCTTTCTAGGGGTAAAATTAGTTAGCTGAAAATCAGTCAACTGGCAAGTCAGACCACGTGCACCACTCAAAATGTTACCGTTACATGGTAACGGAAACCATTGCACGGGAAACGGGATGCTTTTTCTTGCTTTAAATTAAAGCTTCTTCTGCCATTTTCGCCATTTCCGCACTCCCCTTTCTCCATTTTTCTTCTTCCTTCAGCTCGAACCACCGAGCCATGGCAAAGCTTCACCGTCGCTCGGACCTGCTTCCCGTCGGACGGTGATTTCCTCCCGTGTCACGGCGAAAATCTCTCTTCTTTTTTATTTTTTTTTAATATTTGTTTTCGCTGAAACTTGTTGTTGCTCGTTGCTGCTTACCGCCGTACTGCTGTTGCTGCACATCGGAGCTCTGGCAACCTTTGTAATTACCGTGACACGGGACTTAATCCCCGTGACACGTTACTCCTCCACCGAGCCGCGGCGTAGCTCGACCGTGTCACGGCGGTTGCATTGATCTTCGAGGTTTTTCGAGCTTTTGGAGCTCAAATCTTCACCAATTGTGCTCTAATTTCTTGCTACTTTCCTCATTTTCGATTCTCTACAAGGATCCATGTAAGTTTCCTTTGATTTTTGTCTCGAATTTTCTTCAAATGAATAATTTCATGTAAAAACCTTGAAAAAATCAACTTGGGGATTTTTGATTTTGAGGTTTTATGTTGAAATTCTTGCCATGAATTTATTTGTATATGTATGTATGTGAGTTTGTGAGAAATTTGAGACAAAAATTGCATGATTTGATGGAGAATTGAGCAAATCACCATTTTTGGGTACTACTTTTTGTGAAATGATGTTTTGGTTGTTCATGTTACTTCTTTGCACTTGAAATGGTGGAATATTGGTGGTAGATCTTTGTAAAATATGTCATGATGTGTTGATTCATCATTTTTGTGCAATTTCGAAACATATTTCGTGTATGTACTATATTGTCATGGAGAACATAGTATCATGCGGCTAGGAGAACTGTAGTAATAGTTTGTCATGGAGAAACTAAATACTATAAATACTTCCATAATTTTGCCAATTTTTAGCCTTGAGGTAAAAATTTAGCGTATAATGCGATAAACAACTAAATAACTTAGGAAGTGATGCTAAGCATTTAGATCTTTATTTATTAAAATGCAACTCGAATTAAATGTCTTAGGAAATGATGCTAAGCATTTAGATTTTTATTATTACAATCGCATGTCAAGGCGACGGGATCGCGATCTTTCCACCCACGGCCGACGTCAGGCTTTTCGGGAGGACACTCCCACTATTCCCGAGGGTATGGACGACGATGTCTTAGAGTCCGAGCCTCGGGCTTCTACGAGTAGAGGTAGGTGGGTTCCACCTCTGTGGACTCCAGACCAGTTGGTTTTCTGCCGTGAAAACCACGTTTCTCATCGCCCTCTCTCCGGCATAGTCGACGGTACACTTTGCCACCACGGTTCTGGACCCGGAGATTTGATTCCTCGACTTCACCAGATCATTACGAGGGATCCTGCTACGAACGCCTTATGGGAATCGGCTGGTTTAGTAGATTTCTATACGGCGGTCGTAGGGTTTCGCAGCCCCCGGGGTTGCGGTGCAACAGCCGTTCGCGCATTGTTGGAGTATTTTTGGGATACTACCAACACTATTCATTTTTCTTGGGGGGAGATGACAGTGATCCCTCTAGACTTCAGTATGATTAGCGGGCTGCACTTCACCGACCGGGCCGTAGCTTAGATGTCTGATCTGTCTTGGGGAGCGGCTGAGGCAGCCGATTTGTTAGATCCGATCGTTCAGCATATCAGGACCCGGCTAGTGTCTCGAGGTGGTCCTAGGAGCGGGCGATTGGAGCTGGCTTCAGTTCTAGCTCGTGGCTTCGACATGGAGGAGACATCGGCTGAGCAGCGAGTGCGGATCTTCATTCTGATTCTGATCTCCATGACTCTTTCTCCTGATAGGAGTTCACGTGCACTCCTTTTCTACCTCCCTTCTTTAGTCAGGATCAGTGAGATAGGATCCTATGGCTGGGCCAGCCTCGGATACGCCGACCTTCTTTTGTCGGTACGTCATGGTTGTCGGCAGCTGAACGACGAGTCTCCCATCACTGTCTACGGTCTGTGGAGAGTCGTAGAGGTGATGATCCTTTCCTCTTCTTGTTTTATTTTAATTTGTTCGACTCATGTGCTCAAGGATTACTTTTCATTGCAGCTATGGTTCTACGAGTACTTCCCAGGCTTGGCTCCTCGACGACATCGTGGAGCGGTTCATGATTTCCCTGTCGGGGCCAGTTGGCGTGATCGAGGAGAGTCACGGGTGGAGTCTGTCCCTGC